CCCCAAAACCCCAAAACCCCAAAACCCCAAAACCCCAAAACCCCAATCTAAAAATTCAAAATTGATCTTAGTTTTCAAATAAATTTAAAAGTTAATCAAAATGTTTGGACCCCAAGATACCGGATATGAGTTCAGCGCTCAGCCAAGGGTCGTAGATAGTCGGCCAAAGTTCAGGGACCCTTATGGCCAGTCCTATGATTACATCCCTCAAAATATTATGCATGATTCCAGGATTGCCAGAGGTAGCACCAATGCAAGTATGGTGATCCCTGCTGGAAACCATCCTGATGCAATTTTTCTCAAGAAAAAGGAACAACAAAGAAGGGTGAAAATTCAACAAGAGGAAGAAGAACGAAGGAGGGCCGAATTTGAAGCCCAAAGAGATATCAAAACCCCTGAACCACTCCCTGGAAGAGTGAATTTGGATATTCAAACCGAACCTTTTGTAGAGAACCTGACTGATAAACCCACAGAATTTGAAATTGGAGTCCAAAGTGACTTTTACATCGACAGACCTCCCACACCTCTCTTCGTCCCAATCAAGACAGGTCAAGATGCTGAAACCCAAGTTGAGAAGGACAATCTGGAGGAGGACGTTTATGATTTCAATGAGATCGTTGATCCCATTCTTTCCGTCCTCTGCTTCAACACTATAGAGCAGGCGCAAATGGAGGTCTACGAAGAACATGAGTTCAATCATGTCGATACCAGGAGGAAGGAATTCGAAAGACTCCGCAACCTCAAACTTATAGAAGCTCAGCGTCTCGAAGCTACTGAGAATCGCAAGAAAGAAGAGATGGAGAGGAGGAACAACCAGGTAAAGGCAAGGAAGACCAACAAAGTTTCAGCCCATCAAAAATACACTTCAAGGCAGATAGCCAAGAAGTACCTCTCTGATGTCTGTGGTGACACTTTGAAACTTCTTGAGGATCATGGTACTCTTGTAGAGTCTCTCCCTGGATTCCTCCACGAGCAAGCTGTGCCATGGCTTTATGCCAAAACCATGAAGTTCTTGAACGAAGAAGACATGATTGACCGAAATACTGAAGAATTAGTCGAAACCGCAATCGCATACCCAACTAGAGCCCACCACGAAACAGTTGAACAAGACCATCAACGTCTCATCCGGCTTGAGAAAGAAGAAGAGGCCCGACTCCTTGCCAAAGAAGAACGAAGACGGAAGAGAGCTGAGGCAAGAGAAGAAGCTCGCAAGCAAGAAGAAATTTTAAAATTTAAAGAAGAAGTCCGCCAGAAGTTCATTGAAGGAGGTGAACAAAGAGACCATATTACAATACATGAAATCACAGAACCTGATGGAAATTGACTCAATATTCCGATCATTGGGCTTCTTGGAGGCCACTTCTTGCAGATGATTTATGTACTCAACGCGGCCAAGCAAGTCCTTGAACTTGGGATAAGCTCGTTTTTCCAAGAAGAACGAGTTTACAGGTTTATGGTCACTTATATTCACCATCACATGAAAGGAGAGAACTTCTTCATGAAAGCTAAAGGAGAGCTGCTTGAATACTGTGTACAGAACAAAATCAAACCAGAGGCAATGCATAAGTCTAAAGAAGAGGCTAAGAAAGGCCTCAGAGAGTTCCTCTTAACTCCTGAAGTGACCATGCTGAGCGAATTCGGCACAGAACTAAAAACCGAACCTTTGTCTAAAACAATTGATGAGTTTAAATTTGACCCTGAAATCACCAGACTTCTTCAACATGGTATCGTTAGTCTGCTTCTTAAAACACCACTCCTAAAGGAAGGAGTAGCTAAAGATGCTAGCGAAGCGACCACATCATCCAAGAGTAACAAGAATATGGTCAAACTTGACCCTGCCATTGACAAAATAAAGCTCTGCTTCCCTCAAAAGTACTTGGACTGGGCTAAAAACCCGTCTCTCAACATCAGTGAAATGGCAGAGCCTCGTAAAGCCAGGGCTGTTGCTAGGATCAGGATTCCATTCGAAGAAGTAAAGGAAGACGAGGAAGAAGAGGAAAAGCCCAAAAAGAGCAGAAAGAAAGACAAAAAAAGCAAAAATAACAAAAATAACGATTCTAGAGTCGAATCCTCCAAGAATGACTCAATCAATGAAGGAGAGAGCAAAGCAGCTGATCTTGACAAATCAAAGGAGAGCAACGCTCCCAAGTTCCAAGAGCAAGAGATCGAGGATCGTGTCACAGTGGTAAACCCTAAAGGCGACGACTATGATATCCTGGTTTTCCATCAAGCTGCTGGAAAAATGGTCAGAAAGGATATTCTCAACTCCCTTGTAAAACAAGCCTCTGAGTTCAAAGATGTAGATATTGATTCGATCCTTGAGAATGCGAATAGTTACTCAGAAGAACTTGAGCTAAAATTCATCGAAAAATACTGTGCAAGTGCTGAAGAAGGTGAAGAAATTCATCATTTTGATTACGAAATCAACTAATTTCCTTAATAAACTCAATTACACACCTTGAGATAGGGGTTTTGGGGTTTTGGGGTTTTGGGGTTTTGGGG